GCCCCCGGCGCTGAGCGGGCCCGTGCCTCAGCGGGGGCGGCGCGGGGACCCTTCCTCCGCTGCCGGCGGCTCTGGGGGTAAGGACGAATAGCCCTAGCCCTAAAGCCCCAGCCCCTAGCCCTAAAGCCTTAGCCCCAAAGTCCTAGGCCTTGGCCCCAAAGCCCTAGCCGTAATGCCTCAGACCTTAGCTCCAACGCCCTAGCCCTTAGCTGTTAGCCCTGAAGCCCTAAGCGCAAAGGCCTAGCCCTTAGCCCCAAAACCCTCGCCCTTAGCCCCAAAGCCCTCGCCCTTAGTCTTATAGCCCTAGCCCTAAAGCCTTAGATCTTTGCTCTAACGCCCTAGCCCTTAGCCCTAAAGCCTTAGCTGTTAGCCCTGAGGCCCTAAGCGCAAAGGCCCCAAAACCCTCGCCCTTAGCCCCAAAGCCCTCACCCTTAGTCTTATAGCCCTAGCCCTAAAGTCTTAGGACTAAAGCCCTAGTCCTTAGCCCTAAAGTCTTAGCCCTTAGCTCTAAAGCCTTAGCCCTAAAGCCTTAGCTGTTAGCCCTAAGCCCAAAGGCCTAGCCCTTAGCCCCAAAACCCTCGCCCATAGCCCTGAAGCTTTAGACCTTAGCTCTAATGCCCTTAGCCCCAAAGTCCTAGGCCTTGGCCCCAAAACCCTAGCCCTAAAGTCTTAGCCCTTAGCCCTAAAGCCTTAGCTGTTAGCCCTGAGGCCCTAAGCCCAAAGGCCTAGCCCTTAGCCCCAAAACACTTGCCCTTAGCCCTGAAGCCTTAGATCTTAGCCCCAAAGCCCTAGCCCTAAAGCCTTAGAACTGAAGCCCTAGTCCTTAGCCCTGAAGATGTACCACTAAAGCCCTAGCCCTAGTCTTAGCTCTTAGCCCTTTATCACTAGCCCTTAAGGCCTATCCCTAAGCAGCTGAGTTTTTTGCGACCTCCTCCTTCCAAAAGCTCCCATTCCCACTGGTTCAGTGCCGCAGAAGGATCTGACACGCAGCCAAGTTGCCACCATTGCTTTATTGATTCCAGATGTGAGGAGAAAACAAGAAAGTCTAATTTACCCATGGTTTTACCCCCCCCTACGTTGCAGGCAGCAGGGAGTAGTGATTTCTGGCAACAGAGCGAAATGTTTCTGTGCAGGACCTTAGTTGTTGATTTGTACCTCTGTGCTGCCAAGGCTTCTTGAGATCAAGCACCGGTATGTGCCGGGAATAGGGAGAGCAATGAGCACTTGCGGCGTGTGCTGGGCAAAGAGAGGAGTGCTTCCAGATAAACGAGAGGCACCCTGCTCCACAGTTAAAAAGCCACTGCGTTCTGCAAGCGGCCAGAGCTGCAGTGTTTGTGGCTACCTTGTTGTGACAGCACCCAAGGCAGGATTTCAAGCAACTAGTTCCCCTTGACCTGAAGATTTCACTACCAGAGTCCTAGGGGATCAGGCTGCACCTCTGCCTGAAGTTCCCCTTTCCGTCCTGACTCAGCAGAGATGACCAACAGCTCTAGTGTTTCCGACAAGGATGGGTGCCAAGCAGCCCAGGACCAAGATTTGGAGACAGAGGCTCATATGCACAACTGATTTGTATCTTCAGGCTGCACAACAGTAGCCCAGTAGCACCAGCCCTGTCAGCACAGGGCGCAGCTGTGCTGCCATCAATGTAAGGCAGAGAGGCTGTTTCCACAGGGATATCCCCCTCTCCACTCCCTGGGAGAGAGCTGGTGAACAGGGGAGGGAAACAGACTGAGCTGTACCAGATGGAGTAATTCAAGGCTGCAGATAGTAGCTCCTGGCTTCAGCCCTGGAGCAGATTCCTGGCCACAATCATCCGCATCACCTCATTGGTACCTGCAGCAGGGTGCAAAAGAGAGTTAGGAGATGGTCCGATTCTGCCCTCAGTGAAGGCAGAGAGACTTCTTCCCTGAGCTGTGGTTTATAGCACAGAAAAACTCTTCCCCCAACCCTCATTTAGGAGGTGCTGGGCCAAAATACAACTGCCAAGCGCCCGCACATTGCGCGAGAAAGGTTTCAGAGCGATAGATGATTTGGGCACTGAGAGGATGTGGGCACCAGGCATCCAGCAGACCTGGATATACACCAGCATACACCCACACATTGCATGAGAAAGGTTTCAGAGCGATAGATGCTGGTGCTTTTCATTTGGGCACTGAGAGGATGTGGGCACCAGGCATCCAGCAGACCTGGATATACACCAGCATCCGAGTTTTCTGCTTTACTATTTAACACATCCACAACACACAGACTGCAAAGCCACTCGGAAAGAGTACGTCCCTTATTGGGTACCCTGGCTGCAGGGGAGGGATTTCAAAGGAGAAACAAAATGGTTAGGAGGCCAAACTGAGATTAGAGAAGGCCAGACACTCTGAGAGACACATTGTCAGAGTGAAGATAGGCTGGAGTCACAGGAAAGTAATCGTTGGGGAGCGTCAGCACGTGTCTGTAGGAGTAACGGGATGAAACCGGACAGAGGCACCGCTGATGTGACAGCCAGATGTTCCCCCTGCTGTTCAGACCCTTAAAACGCACAGTAACTGCTCCAGTACACCACGAGCTCTTGGCCAGGGGATTCACACACATGACATCCAGGGACGACTCATGCTCAGAACAAAACGGGATTCTCAAACCCCAGAGTCGAGGGGAAGGTGGGGGCCTCCGGAGGGTCTGTTCTCTCCTGGCTTCTCTGCCAGGTCCCTGGTAGTAAGAGTTGCCTTTTACCTTCCAGGATCTGGTGGACTCTGATGTCTCGCACAAACTGCTGCACAGCATAATCCTTCAGGTAACCGTAGCCCCCGTGCATCTGCAGAGCCTGGTTACAGATCTAAGAGATAACATCACCGGTGAGCGACCTGCGTGGTGTCGAGGACAAGTCGGTGACTGAAACTTGGTAAGAACCCGGGAACCTGGGCTCGTGGGGGAGTTTTCTGATCACCTCATCTCATCCCAGTGAGAGGGCAAGAGGTTCCCAGTGCCGAGGGTGCTGCTTTCGGCGCTAACACGCTACCCAAGTGCTGTTTCACATTAACAGCGCATTTAGGTGAACGTGACAGTGTAGAAATACCCAGGAAACACTGAACTGGGGCAGTTTTTGCTGCACTTCTACGGTGTGCCTGATGCAGAAAGCAAAACGCCAGCTCACCACGTAGCAGTCAGTCCCCGAATCCCTTCAGGGCTCTGGTTTCTCTTGCAACCTCACTCCGTGCGTCACCATCCATCAACACGGGATGGAAAACGTGACCAGTGGCAAAAGAAAACATGGTAGCTGTTAAATGACACTGCCCTAAGAGGTGTCAAGGTGCAGATTTCCTTTTCCTTTCTTTTTCTCCCTTCTCGCTTTCTCTTTCCAGGGACACTCTGAGGTAATGTTTTATTTCTCAGCAGTCTGGGAAAGACCACTTGCTGCCTAGGGACCATCAGCCTGTAACATGTGTATTACCACTTCAAAAATAAAAATACCAATTCCCTGTCCCGTCTCCCTAATTGGTCCCCTAAAAAGTAGTGTGGAAAACACTAGAGGCCACAAGGCCTGAACTGCAGGAGAGGGTAATACCACAGCCCCAGCAGTGTGCAGAATTCTGTCCCATAAAACATCCTGGTCCTGAAATGAGGCTTCTGGCTCAATGCATGTGCTTGGCTCTGGGTCCCTGCAGTGTCAACTTCTATCTGGGCACCACGAGGCATCCCCAAGCTTGCAGCTACGATGCCAGCTGAGGTCTGAGCAACCTACCGCAAAGCATTCATCGGTAGCAAAGAGCTTGGCCATGGAGCACAGCACTGCCGCGTCCTCCCGTCCCTCCTGCAGCGCCCGGGCCGCGTAGCGCACCATGAGTCGTGCTGCCACCAGCCGCGTCGCCATCTCCGCCAGCCGGAACTGCAGGTACTGCCAGCAGGCAGCACGAGAGGAACAAATCAGGTCGTTGGAGAGGCCTGTGTCCTGCACCTCATCCCCCACTACCTTCAGGCAGGTCTCAGCCTGACACGCTTTCTTACTCGAGAAAAGCGTGTTTCTGCCTTCTCCAGGGAAGCGAGGGTCGGGACCTCTGGCTGCTCGCTCAGCCAGGGTCAGAGAGAGCACAGCTCTGGGAGCGCAGATCCGGTGGAGAGGTTACCTGGTTGTTTGCCAGGGGCTCTCCAAACTGTTTGCGGACAGTGAGATGTTCCTGAGCCAGAAGAACAGAGGCATGAGCAGCTCCTAACGAACAGGAAGCTGGCGGGAGAAGCCAAGGACACAGTGTGAATCTGAAGCTAACGCAGACGAGTGACAAGATGATCCTGCCCTCCTCCCTCAGCTGCCTTTCTTACCGATATTTATCCTGCCTCCGTTCAGTCCCTTCATGGCAATGCTGAAGCCCTGCCCTTCAGCTCCCAGGCGGTTGCCAACAGGAACAACGCAGTCCTCAAAGATGACAGCCCGAGTTGGCTGGGAATTCCAGCCCACCTGGGAAAAAACCAGAGCACCTTCCAGACTGCCTGAGGAGCAGCACACCGCCAGCTCCCGGCAGAGAGCTGCCCAGCCTGCTCTCAACCCCTTGGTCTCATGCCGAGCTGAACACAAGAGTGCCTGTGGTCTGGCCTCACTGTGCCAAGTTGGAAACGGGACTGCATATATTTGAGAAGAGGCACAGCTCCAACGAACCGATGTTCCCGAGGGGAAAATCCTTCGCTTACCGAAGGGACGGGTATTGTGCAAACCTCACCAAAGCTGGACTTGGTTTGGCTTAAACCTGCCAGGCTGCGACTGGGTCCCACCCAAGAAGAAATCCCTAATGGCTGCCTCTGTCCTGCACTTCCCTCAAGCACACAGTAATTAAACCCTAAGCCTCTTACCTTCTTCTCTTTCTTGCCAAAGCTGAGCCCTGGTGTCCCCTTCTCCAGCACCAGGCAGGAGATGCCCTTGGGGCCTGGGCCTCCGGTGCGACACATGACCACATACACATCAGTGTCACCTCCCCCACTGATGAAGGCCTGCAGAAGGGCACAGGAAGAAAGGGGTGGCTTTTGTATGCTTAGCCCTGAGCCTGCAGCAGCAGCTGAGGTGCAAAGACGGAGGGGCAAAGACCCCACGGCCCGGAGGTACTTAGGGACCCAACTGTACTAAGCTCTGGCGAATGCTCTGCAGAGCGTGTCCTACCTTGGGAGAACACACAGAGGTGAGGAGACAGTAGGAAATGGACAGGACGGTGAGACCCGGGCCCCCTTGTGCATGCAGTGCCATCCAGCAGGTTTAGGAGGAGCAAAGAGGTACCTTGGAGCCATTCAGGATGTAGTTGTCCCCTTTCCTCTGAGCTGAGGTCAGCAGGGAAGCTGCATCACTTCCACTTCCTGCAGGAGAGGTGAGGAAGCAGCCACTGAAGCAGGAGGCTTCACTGAGTCTGCAGACTCTCCGGGGGTTGTACCCAACGCCACTCGGGTCTGTACCACGAGCATCTCAGCAACCATCACCTACCCCTTCCCAGCTTCCCGGTGACGGCCCAAATGACCATGAAAAGGAACTTTTCACCTCCAGTCCCACACAATGTTCCCATCCAGTTAAATTAAACCATGTTAGGAGTGAGGGAAGGGAGATTTCTTGGCTGCAGAGGCTCACCTGGCTCAGTCAGGCAGTACGAAGCGAATTTTTCCATGCTACAAAGCGATGGGCAGAACCTGTGCCTCTGTTCCTCGTTCCCAAAGGTGTCGATCATCCAAACACACATGCTGGAGGAGGAAAGAAGGAGCAGCTTTACAGCACGTGAGCAAAGCCCTGGGAGGAAGGCGAGTCGTACAAGAACACCCCTGGCTGAGCAGCACAAAGCTCCATGGGGTTCAGTCAGAAGCCCCGAGGGTTGAAGGTGTATTGCCCCACCTCTGCTGCCATTAATCTAATGCAGCCCCAGAGGCTCTGTCACAATATGACCAAAGCACAAAGGCTTTTTCCAGGCAGGTTACTATCTATAGACAGCTTAAGTGGAACCGCAGGGAACACAATCCAGAACTTAATCCCATCTTGCATGCCCCAAAGCTAAAATTACTTCTTGGTGGCATCTCAGTTTTTGTAGCCTATTCGTTTGCTGCCATCAAGAGATCCTCACAGGGACGTGCCTGCTTGGGGGCCCAACTTTCAATAATAATGAGCACCGAGAGAGCTGTCTCCAGCTGGATTTAAAGCCCACGGAACAACCGTGGTCTTCACCCACTGCTCCGCAGACACACTCACTTGTGGATGCTCATGTAAGCGGTGGTGCTGGTGCATCCTGTCGATAAAGCTTCAAAGATTATGGAGGTGTCAAGTCGTGACAATCCAGAGCCACCGACGTCTGGTTTCACATAGATCCCACCGAATCCTAGCTGGGCTGCCTTCCGCATTGTTTCCACAGGGAATATTTCCTATTGGGACGGGAAGAGGCCTCGCAAGCGAACACTCGTGATCAATCCAATCTCGATAGCCAATCTCCTCTTTCTGGTACACCTGGGCTACCAAGGCCAGTCCCAAACTCCTACAGAGCTGAAGTCAACTGGGTGGGTTAAAGGGGAGGCAGCTATCTATAGACAGATACATACTGTCTTCAGGAGAAAATTCACCTTCTCAGAGGGCTGAATAGCCTGGCTAGGGCAGCTTGAAGGAATTTCCGATGGCGTCCCACACCCCAGCTGCAGTAGCAGCTTCAAAGAAAACCTCTACCGATGGCACTGAGGAGCTACTGCAGGAACCCCTCTGGTGAGGCCCAAGGCTAAGAGCATCCCAAGGGAGGGAAAAGCAAGCAGCACAACCCTTCCGAGGCCGGCATACCTTTTCATCCCACTCAGCCATGTGAGGAGCCATCTCTTTGGCAGCAAAATCAAGGGCAACCTTTTGGAATTCCTTCTGCTCCTCGGTCAGGCCAGCGGACGCTGGAAAAGTAGGAAGAGATCGTTGCGCATCTGCTGCGGGGAGGTGAGCGCTACCACCTCTTCTGTATCCCAAACAATTGCCAAGCGTCCCAGTTCAGGGCCTACGCGGCAGGGACCCTCCGCAGTTCCCGGGGGCCGTGGC